AAAGTCATGCCCCAGTGGGAGTTTCCGGAATTGCGAGCTTGCTTCTACTTCCGCGAAGTCTTCCAAAAGGGGGGGGGGGGAGAGCTTTCAATTGTATTGTGTTTATGCTTTTTGCCGGTCCTACAGAAGACTCAATGTGCAGCTAAGATTCATGGATGGAGCGCTCCTGTCATTTTCAAAGGCTTATGGTTTAAACAGTAATGGCAGTGACAAACGCTTGCACATGTGTTCCACCACACACGAAATTGACTGGCAGTTGCTAAACTGAATGAACTGAATATATGTACCTGATGAGGATGTAATAATAGCACACGATGCACTTTATGGAATGATAGCTGTAAATCGAACATGTTCATGAGAAAGTTCGTTAGCTATGATGATGATGAAGAAGAAGAAGAAGAAAAAAAAGATTGGATTTATACCCCGCCCTTTACTACCCAAAGGTGTCTCAGAGCAGCTTACGGACTCCTTTCCCTTCCCCTCCCCACAAAAGACACCCTGGGAGGTAAAAGAAGAAGAAGAAGAACAGATTGGATGTATACCCCGCCCTTCACTACCCAAAGGCGTCTCAGAGCGGCTTATGGACTCCTTTCCCTTCCCCTCCCCACAACAGACACCCTGTGAGGTAGAAGAAGAAGATTGGATTTATACCCCGCCCTTCACTACCCAAAGGTGTCTCAGAGTGGCTTACAGACTCCTTTCCCTTCCCCTCCCCACCACAGACACCCTGTGAGGTAAAAGAAGAAGAAGAAGAGATTGGATTTATACCCCGCCCTTCACTACCCAAAGGAGTCTCAGAGCAGCTCACAATCTCCTTTCCCTTCCCCTCCCCACCACAGACACCCTGTGAGGTAAAAGAAGAAGAGGAAGAGATTGGATTTCAACCACGCCCTTCACTACCCAAAGGTGTCTCAGAGCGGCTTACAAACTCCTTTCCCTTCCCCTCCCCACAACACACACCCTGTGAGGTAATAGAAGAAGAAGAAGAAGATTGGATTTATACCCCGCCCTTCACTACCCAAAGGTGTCTCAGAGCGGCTCACAAACTCCTTTCCCTTCCCCTCCCCACAACAGACACCCTGTGAGGTCGGTGGGGCTGAGAGAGCTCTGACAGAAACTGCTCTTTTTCAAGAACAGCCCCGACAGAACTACGGCTTGCCCAAGGTCATCCAGCCAGGTGCAAGTGGAGGAGTGGGGAATCAAACCCGGTTCTCCCAGATTAGAGTCCACGCACTTAACCACGACACCAAACTGGCTCTTTGTGCATGTGTGTGTGTCGTGTTGTGTTTTCCCGTTGCACCGTATGTCACCCTGTGCACTGTTACAGCACAGCAAAACAAAAATCTTGATGCAGTCCTTTGTTTCAGAGGAGAACAGCTAGATTCCGCGGGACAACAGCTCCGTTCCAGTCCAGTGGCAACGGAGAGTCCGAGACATTTTCTGCAGCGATGGCTCTCCCCGCACCTGCACCTGTGTTCCTCCGCCGCTTTCCCCACAAATCTTTTTGCAGTCCCAGGAGCAAAAACACAGTTTGCCCCCTCTTGTGGTACAGCAGGGAATTCCCGGAAATAGAGAAGTCTGACGCTGCAGACCAAGAGGGGACAACCTCCGTGTTTGCTCCTGGGACTGCAAAAAGATTTGCGGAAATGAGGCAAAGTGGCGGAGGGATACAGGTGCAGGGGCAAGGAGAGCCGTCCCTGCAGAAAACACCCAACTAGAGTTTCAGGGTACAAGCTTTCGAGAGTCAACGCTCCCTTTGGCTGTATCTGAAGAAGGGAGATCTGACCCTAGAAAGCTCGTACCCTAGAAATTGTGGTCTCTAAGGAGCTCCCGATCTAGCTGTTCTTGATGTAGTCGCAGGGCTCCTTTTGTAGCAGGGACTCCTTTGCAAATTAGATAACACAGCCCAAATGTAGCCAATCCTCCGAGAGCTTACAAGTAGCCCCTGTATGAAGAGCTCTGTAAAGCCCTTGGAGGATTGGCTACATTTGGGGTGTGTTGCCTAATATGTAGAGGAGTTCCTGGTACAAAAAGAGCCCCGGACTCACGAGGCAGATCATGAGAGGGAAGGGATCATCTCTCAGGACCCCAGTTTGGTGTCGTGGTTAAGTGCGCGGACTCTAATCTGGGAGAACCGGGTTTGATTCCCCACTCCTCCACTTGCACCTGGCTGGATGACCTTGGGCAAGCCACGAGTTCTCTCAGAGCTGTCCTTGAAAGGGCAGTTCTGTCAGAGCTCTCTCAGCCCCACCTACCTCACGGTGTCTGTTGCGGGGAGGGGGAGGGAAAGGAGATTGTAAGCCGCTCTGAGACTCTGAGTGAAGGGTGGGGTATAAATCCAATCTCCTCCTCCTCCTTCTTGGCAGAGGCTATTGCCAATCGCCACTTTGAGGCCAGGAAAGAATTTTCCTCTAGGCAGGGGTCATTTCATAGAAAAAGAGGTGCGGGAGCTCATTAGCATAACTCATTAGCATAACTTATTTGCGTATGCCACACCCACGGAAGTGTGTCAGAAGGCAACACTCACTACTCAGGTTCCACTGGACTGTTCTGGATGAGCACCGCTCCTGTGCGCTCCCACAGGAAATGACCCCTGCCTCTAGGCCACATTTGCCCTGGGATCCTGGAGGGGTTTTTTTTGCCTTCCCCTGGGAGTAGAGCAGGGGTCACTGGGGAAGTGAGGGGAGGTAGTTGTGAATTTCCCGTGTTGTGCAGGAAATTGGACTAGATGGCCCTTGAGGTTCCTTCTAGCTTTATGTTTCTATGTTCTGTGCTTCTAATCCCACATGCAATTGCTTTGGCACTCAAAGCGCATCAGAAACACAGAGGGAGGGAAAGGTGTTTCGAAACAGAACGCCGTGGCCAATTCGACATGCGCGGCCCTCTTTGCAAAATCCAAACCTCAAAACAGGCCGCAGGAGGATTCCTAAGGTATCAGCTGCAGCGTGGAAAGAAGTTACACCGAACTTCCAACATCTGGGTGGGAAATTTGGATGAGAAGGCTGGTTGGAAGCATCCCTAGATACAAATAACCCCCCGGGGGGTGAGTTCTGTTCTTTCCTCTCTGCATTCTTTGCTCTGGAGACTTCTCATGAACACTATTGGCATGCTATCCGGAATGTTGCGGTAGCAATTTATAATATGTGGGGAGAACGGGGTGTGTGTGTGTGTGTGGATTGTGTGTGGAATACGGTGTGCAGTTCTGGTCACCACACCTTAAAAAGGATATTATAGCTTTGGGAAAAGGGCAGAAAAGGGCAACTCGAATGATAAAAGGGTTGGAACACTTTCCCTATGAGGAAAGGTTAAGGCGCTTGGGGCTCTTTAGCTTGGAGAAACGACGACTGAGGGGTGACATGATTGAGGTTTATAAGATTATGCATGGGAAAGAGCAGGTAGAGAAAGAGGTACTTTTCTCCCTTTCTCACAATACAAGAACCCGTGGGCACTCCATGAAATATGGATAAGAGGAAGTACTTCTTCACCCAAAGAGTGATTAACACTTGGAATTCACTGCCACAGGAAGTGGTGGTGGCTACAAGCATGGACGGCTTCAAAAGGGAATTAGATAAGCATATGGAGCAGAGGTCCATCAGTGGCTATTAGCCACAAGGTATAGATAGGGACTCTGGGGCAAGTGATGCTCTGTCATCTTGGTGCTTGGGGGGGGGTCAACAGTGGGAGGGCTTCTAATGTCCTGGCCCCACTGCTGGACCTCCTGATGGCACCTGGTATTTCTGGCCACTGTGTGACACAGAGTGTTGGGCTGGATGGGCCTTTGGCCTGATCCAACATTGGCGTCTCTTATGTTCTTATGTCTGGGGCAAGTGATGTTCTGTAATCTTGGTGCTTGGGGTGTCAACAGTGGGAGGGCTTCTAATGTCCTGGCCCCACTGCTGGACCTCCTGAGGGGCACCTGGTATTTCTGGCCACTGTGTGACACAGAGTGTTGGACTGGATGGGCCTTTGGCCTGATCCAACATTGGCGTCTCTTATGTTCTTATGTTGTCATCCCCACTCCTAAATTGCGTAATCCCTTCCCCCAAAGCATGAAATGGATTGCGGGGACAAACTTGGGTAGGGGGTAATCCCCTCACAAACTCCTTTGACCCTTTCATAAAGACAGATCGAGGTGGGAAGCCGTGCTGGTCCGAAGCCATAGAACACCAGCACTTCGTTGTCTTGTTGTTATGGTTTTATTCTGTTTTCAATTGTTTTAAATATGGCTTTTGCCCCAGTTGTTAGCCGCCCGGAGCCTTCAGGGTGTGAGGTTTCGTGGGCATGCACACTTCGTCAGGCGGCGACGAAGCGTGCACGCCCACGAAAACTCTCACCTTGAATAAAACTTGGTTGGTCTTCAAGGTGCCCCGCTGGACTCTTAACTATGTTCCTTTGACCCTTGTCAATGTGAGGTGAGCAACATTCGGGTTTCTGCCAGTGGTACGTTGTAAAGTGTGGGGGGAAGGGAGACGATAAAAAAAGAGCACAGAATACATTCTGGAACATGGATCTGATCTTTGTTAAACTTACCAGGGCCCAGGGGTCATTTCCTGCGGGAGCGCACAGGAGCGGAGCTCCGGCAGTAAGGAGCCCAGGGGGCGGGCACATGCAACAAACCCCGCCCCCTGCTCCCAGCAGCCCTCAGTCGGGACACAAGGAGCAAAAAGAAGCCAGGTAAGTTGGAGAGGGGCCCCCCGGACTGCCTTCAGGTACAAGCTCTCCCTCCTCTGTGAGGGCAGATCTGCGCGTTCCCCCGCCCCAATAGCTAGCAATCCAAAACAGTCCAGTGGCACCTTTAAGATCAAGTTTTATTCAGGTACAAGCTCTCCCTCCTCTGCGAGGGCAGATCTGCACGTTCCCCCCCCCCCCATAGCTAGCAATCCAAAACAGTCCAGTGGAGCCTGAGCGGTGGGTGTTGCCTTCTGACACACTTCCGGTGATGTCAGGGGTGTGTGGCATATGGAAATGAGTTATGCTAATGACCTCCTGCAGCTCTTTTTCTACGAAATGACCCCTGCCAGGACCCGTTTCTCCTCGCTAAGATTCTGTTAGATGAGAATAACGGTGGAGGTGGCCATTGGAAGGAATAAAGGGAGTGCGGCTCAGTGGTTTGAGTCCCAAGCTAGGACTTGGGAGACCCAGGGTCAAATCTCCTCTCAGCTGTGAAATTTGTAATGTCACCGTAGCCCAGTCATTTCCTCTTAGCCTAATCTACCTTCCTGGGTGTATTAACTTGGACCTGTAAGGGCCCAGGCTGGACCAGTCTCATCAGATCTTGGAAGCTAAGCAAGGTTGACCCTGGTTAGTATTTGGATGGGAGATCATCAAGGCAGTCCAGGGTCCTCTACGCAGAGGCAGGCAGTGGCAAAACCACCTCTGTATATCTTTTGCCCTGGCCTAGATGTCAGTCTTGGAAGCTAAGCGGGGTCGGTCCTGGTTAGTATTTGGATGGGAGACCGCCAAGCAAGCCCAGGGTCGCTACGCAGAAGCAGGCAGTGGCAAAACCACCTCTGATCGTCTCTTACCTTTAAAACCCAATGGGGTTGCCGTAAGTCGGCTGTGGCTTTTCCCGCCACCATCTTATTGGGTTGCTATGAGCACAAAACGTGGTGGACCCAGCGGGCATTTCGTC